AGGAGGACGTTCCTGGGGGCTGCAGGGGGCAAAAGTTTCCATGTAGATAATGATTACAGATGGTGGGATTTATGGGGAGGGGTGCGCGCGCAAATAAACACGTGTACCGTGGCGGAGAGAGGAGCCCGATCCCGCCGGGGCCGCCCCCCAGACCCCTCCGCCTCGGGCGGGTTGCGGGGGCGAGGGATAGCCGGGGTCCGAGCAATCCGCAGCGCCGGAGAGGACGTCAGGACCTTTCCCACCTCCACCCCATCCCGGACAATGTTCCCAAAGGTTTGAGGATAAAGTAGAGAGAACTGTTCCTCCTCAGCCACCGGCGGTTAACCCGCCACGGCTGCAGTCACAGACACTGGTGGGTGCAGGCGGGAGGGGACTCTCCGTGTATGAAGAAGGGGCCACTTGAGGCGAACGATCTCCATTAAGATTTGTCATTGGAAATACAATGCTGTGTAGCGAACGATATTAAGTATTGTATTAAGTTCTAGAGAACTGAAGAACTTGAAGTAAAAAGGGAAGGCATACAGAGCCAAGCCCGAGCCAGAAGCAAGCTCCACATCCTCTCTGTTACACCACTGATAAAAATACCGTCTCCCGAGCCGCGCTGAAAGGCTGTAGCCATAAGAAGGGGCTGTTGTATCAGCCGCAGTCTAACCCCTCATCTCCTCATCAACAGCCCATTTTTGTAGACTAAGACACTACTTCATCAAGTCATCTTCTAGTCACTGTTCTGGGCATTTCTGTTAGGATCCAGACAGATCTCGTTATGGCTAGGAATTAAACATGCCTGTAATCTAGGCACTTTTGCTGAAAAGGTCTTTTAAAGACACTGACGCCCTCGCACAGTCTAGTCATTTACACAGACAGGTATTTACAATTAACTGCTTTTACGTATAAATATGCGTGTATGTATGGTCATGTCCATACTCCAATACCTACGTAAGGATTTCTGTATGAATGCGCTGAAAAAGAGAATCCCGACATACTTCTACTGTCGTTAAAATAATGATGATAATAGAAAAGCTCAAATGGATTGCTTGTAAAACACAGGCTGTAATTCCCTCAAGTTATTTTTCATCTGCAACTACATGTTTTGTTTATGTGGTGTCAAAAGACAATGACAAGGCTTAGGGCCAGGTCTTGGGCTCGTCCATGGAAGCGTGGAGCGCTCTAGCGACTCGGGCCAGTTTGGGAGCTCATGCATTTTAGAGTTGTACTGGGATGTATTCGGGGAGACGGACCGGCTCCATGCTGCATCCCATCCTGCTTCTTCTTGCTTTCCTTGGCTACGTTCAGGCACGGGCTCGGGGGTCAGATGGAGCTGGGGGCTCTGTCCCGGCCCCGCACGGGCCAGAGCCCTTTGTAGCCCGACTTAAATGGGCCAAGGCCGGGCGGGCTCCAGGTTAGGGGGTGAGGGGTGGACCGGAATACCTCTGCATTTCATATCGGTTCTGACCCTTCGCCTCGGGGCCGGCACCAGGGTGCAGCCCGCGGAGTGTTTCAGCAAATCCCGGTGACGATGGTTCTGTGAGGAGGATAAAATCCCCACTAGGGGTGATTTATCAGCTGTGTCTGACCCCTGAATACTTGACTTACACGGCTGGTGACACATTACCAGGGAAATGAGGCTGGAGTGATTTGTGTGTGTGTGTTTGTGAAAGCATGTCATTTCCCCATCGACCCGTCTCTTGGGCTGCTGGGCAAGAAACCCCACAACCTCTCTGTTCTCTCCACCATCCCCATCCTTTCATCACCCTCACTCTGCCATGCGGGTGACCGACGAAGCGGACAGGGGTGGTCCCGAGCAGCCGCCTCTTTTCGCGGCCGAGGAAAGGAACTGGTCATCTCGGGGAGGCAGGAAGAACGGGCGATGGCACGAAGGCCGGGAGAGATGGCCTGGGACCAGGCATAACTGGAGGGGTGTGATGGCTAGAAACCTTTGATTTGGGGTTTGCCCGGAGAACGGGGGTGGAGGAGGGTGGCCCGGGTTTTTTAAGGCAAGCAGAAATTTGATTATAGCGTACGGTAGAGCTCTGTGATTTGCGGTGAACGGATTTCATTAGCTACGGCCGTTTGAGTCTCAGAAAAGCTGCTCAGAGCCGCGGGGCCGGGAACGAAGTTGACCCGAGGGCGGGTGATGAAAGGAGCTCGGCCGTGGCCCCGGTTCTGTGGGCCGGGGAGAGCCGCGGCTGATCCGGGCTGCTGCGGGAACGGGGCTGGCACGGCCGGGCGCTGCCCCTGCCTCTCCCTTTCCCTGGGATCGGCAGCTTTCCCCACTATACCGGCTGACAGGGACAGCCCCAGCCCTCGTGCTTGCTTTCCGCAGGGAGGGTGTGGGTCACAGGGCTCCTTTTACCCCACCTGCACTCGTGTCACCGGCCGCAGCCGTCACCGAGGCGAGAGGCGAGGCTGGGTTTGGCTCTGCTCGCTATGGGGTTCAGCTGTGGCGTTTCCACTTTGCTGAAGATGTCGATGCTAGATGGTGATGGTGGAGGCAGCAGTGGGCAGGAGGTGCCCGGAGGGGCCGCGCAGCCCAGCCTGGCCCGTCGGGGGCTGGCGGGCCTCCGGCGCTGCAGTGGGATCATCTCTGATTGCCGTCAACGAATGTCACCGGCAGAAGGAAAAACAAAAGCTGCCTCCAAAGATAGCCGAGCAGATTTTGGCAAGGCTCCTAAAGACACCAATTAGTAAAGGCTAAACCCATTAATGAAGTGGCGGCTCTCTGGTTTCAGCCAGGTGGTGCAGATCAGAGTGCCTGTATCTGCAGCAGAGCCCCGCTTCCCTCCAGCCGGGACCTCACAGCAAACCTCCACATTAATAATACGCTTAATGGATCTCATTAGGGCTGGGGCCGCGAGTTCCGGCCTGGGAGCGGCGGAGATGAGGGGAGCAGGAGGGCAGTGCTCTCCGCGTTGCTCCGGGACGGACCCGGTTCCCTCGAGGGGCGATGGACGGCGGGGCCGCCGCTCCCTCCTCGGGTCCTGAGCTCGTGGGTCTGCACGAACTGCGTTTATAGGCGGTTCTTTCCGAGATAAGCGAGACCCTGGCATCGCCTCACCGGGCTCGCCAACCCACAAGCCACACACCTCCCCTTATAATCAGAGCCACCTCTGCACGCCGAGCCACGAGCATCCGCCGCGGCCGGGCGGGCTGCGGAGGGCGGCGGTGTTCCCGCAGCGCGCCCCCGAGCCGGGGCTGTGAAGGGGAGGGAAAGGGGCTTCTGCAAATTGATTTAAAAAGAAAAGCTCCCGGACCACACCTCTGTAAAAAGGGACCAGGGAAAAGGGACGAAATATTTCCGCTTCAGCTGGGGAAAAACATAAAAAGAGAGTGAGGAAAAAGGAAAACCGAAGCAGTATAAACCTGGCCGAAGTGAGCTAGCATATTTAGCTAATGGAGGGGGACTATGAAAAGAGACCTCATATTTCTCTCCGAGGAGTCTCTCCAGGTCCGCAGCCGAGAATACACACAGCAAACCTTGTGCTTGAATTATAGCTGAGGCTTTGCTTTATTTGAATTCACTGGTGTTTATTTAAGAAAGTGAATAAAGGTTTTGTGTAAACAGCCATTATTTCTGATGAGCGCTTAACAGCAATAAGAAGGGGATGGTTTTTTTAGTCGAGATTGTGACAAAAGTTGACATTTTGGAGATTGCAGTTTGTCTTGCAGACGCCAGGCAGTCCCGAAGCATGAACTGCAGGGAAAGCTGTGTGTGCCTGCGAGTGTGAAACGGCGATGTCGAGCGAACTGGGGTCTGAAAACAATTATTTTTTAAAACATCAGCTTAAGCCCGACATTAAAATAAAAATATTTTCCTAAGGATCGGGGCCGGTCTCGCTCTGCTAACGAGGGAAGCGAACTCAGGTTTCGCTGCCGCAGGCTCCGCTCCCACGGGGCTCTGGGGGGAGCAGCACCGAGGCAGGGGGACCGCGGCAGACACCCCGTCCTCGCCGGGCAGGACAGCGGCGGACCCCGATGCCGGCCCTTTTGCACCGTGTATCTCTTAATTAAAATATTGCTTCTGTTTTGTTGTATTATTGGTTTAGGGTGGTTTTCTTCTAAGGTGGCTGTTATTTCTGAGATTGACTCAGGTCTCTGGAGTTGGGAGGTCTCTGGTAAGAAATCTGACGAAAAGTATCTCGCTGGGCTTCCTAACACAGCGCCCGGGAAAGGTACGGTTATCGGTAAGTTGCTCCCCGGGAAGAAGGCTGGCCGGACCTGGCTCTGATCATCCCGGCTGCGCATCTCTGCGAGTGTGGATGCCCCCAGACAGGCTGGGATAACGGAGTGGCACGGCGAGGCCTCCCGCTTCTGTATTAATCCGATTTCCCATACATGCCAGGCAGGAGGAGGCAGGAAAACCTCTGTCCTCTGTGCCGCAGCGTGTATCGCTCCTGCTTCTTGGTCTCTGGTACGGTTTTTCATTTGAAATCAGCGCGAAAAATCTCTGCGGGGCGTCCGGGTGGGGAAGCAAAGCAACGAAGAGTTTGTGCAATGAGTCTGCCCTGGCCGGGACCGAGGGGACCATGGCAGCGCTGGGGAAGACCCTGCCGGCCCCTCCGCGGGGACCCCGGCCCCACCGCGACACCCCGCCGTCACCCGGCCGCGCTGTGGCGGGCGGGGACAGCCCGAAGGGATTGCGGTGCCTGGCCCAGACCTGGAAAGAGTCGCAGTGGATTTAGGGGAGGTGAAGAGACTGCCACGAAAGCTGCTGCCCCCGATTGAAACACCGGGGATTTTCGGGTCATCAGTAAAACAGTGGGCTCGGGCGTCTATAGTTCAGGGACAACCAGCATCAAAAGCCTTTCGTGTTACCTGGCCATAACAAGCAAACGAAATAGAGGTTCCCCCAAGCTTTCTTTGACCTGTTCTGGGAGCGGGGGTATTGCATTGCACTACGGACATGTCGCCTTCGCCAGCCAACGGCGTTGGAGCTGTCTGCGGTCACGACATTGTCCCGATTTTTTCCCGCAGAAATAGAGCTGTAACTGCAGCCTCGAGGGACGGGGAAAACTTCCTTCCCTGAAGAGACGGACAAAAATACCTCCATGGGCGCATCTTTCCCCAAACGCCTTTTCCTGGCTTTGCTGTACCTGCACGTGCACAGCAGGAGCAAATTGGAGAGAGATGTAATTAATTTTCCCTGTAGCCGGCGGGGAGGAAGAAACCCATCCTCCCGCTCCGCCACTTGGCCCCTTGGCCCGAACAGCACCTGAGGTGCACGGAGCACAGAAAGCGGGCACAGGAAGAAGGAATTTTATTCCCTTCCGATCTGAGCATCTTTACCCAAAGCTCGAGTCCCAACAGCATTCTTTCCCCCTCCTTTCTTTTTTTTTTTTTTTTCTTTTTTTTTTCCCCCCCGTGTTTTCTTAAAATTATTCAATAAAGGCATTGCCTCGCTCTCTCCCCGACCCCAAATCCAGGCGGGCGTTGCTCCAGTTATTTGGGGACCCCGAGGTGGAGAGAGCCTGGCTCCACGCAGCCAGCCCTGTGTTAGAGGAGACACAGATGCCTTTAACCCAAGGGAAGAGAAACTCTTTCCCGATGCGCTTTTCTTTTCTCATCTGACAAGAGCCACTCCAAAACCCTCCCTCCTGCACTAGTCTTTAGGCTAGTCTTCAGGAAGCAAACTCAAGAGACAAACAAATTCCTGCGGTTCCGTGAGCCACATTCACGGTGGTTTATCGGAGGCGAAACAGTCGTGTTTCGCTGGGCATCTGTCTCGCGGCTTCCCTTCCAACATCATGGCAAATCCCGCGCTGATGGGCGCAGTCGCTTTCTGCAGCTGAAAGTGAACTGCAGGGCCCACACCGCGCTGTGACACCCCCTCCTTTCCTGCCTGGCAAGGTTTTAAAGGCAGAACATTAATTTACAAAGCCCTTCCAGGTAATTTCTTCCCCTGTCCCACTTCTCTGTCCCAAGAAGGGTCGGTCAGGGACGGTGCCCCGGGAGCGCTACCCCGCGCGGGCGCCACGGGCGTCCGCGAATGCATCAGAACTTTGTGCGCGCCCTACTTGAAAACCACCCTGCCTGTGGTGGCTCTGACGGAGCCTCTGACCTCTCGGTTATACGTGCTTTTACCAATTCACCCGTCCCTTCGTCCAGCAAGATGTGTCTTGGCCTGCTGTATGCCCCAGCTCCTTCTCCCCAGGGCTTCTAGTGGGGGAATTCTGTGGGTGTTTCTTTCCCTTTCCTCGGGGATTTGCTCTCGCTAACAAGGGCGGCCCCAAGGAGAGTGTCCCTCCAGGAAAACCCCCCCGGCCCCGAAGGATTTCTCGCCAGAGCTTTCAGAGAAGCAGCGGGCGAAGGCCAGATGTGAATCCGCCTCCGCATCGCTGGAGGACACCGGCATTTTCTCAGTCCTTAACTTTATTCCTCTGTCTCCCCTTTATTTCTAGCGATGTCCTAGGTTCAGTGACCATCGGCCGAGCTTGTGGGGCACAGGGAGGGCGGCTTGGCCTCTCCTGCCCTTCCCCTGCCTCCGTGAGCATTTCGTGGATTTCTGTGCCGAGGCAAAAAACTCTCTTCCCACAGGGAAGCACAGGGGCTGCCCACCACCGCAGCTTTCGCTCTAATACGTGCTGCTTGGCAAGGGAGGAGGGGTAAGCAAGCTGCCTCAGAAACGGCCCCCGTCCTCCCTCGTGGCCCGGGAGAAACGGAGCATGGAGTAGCGCGGCGCTTTATATTTTTCCCAGGGCGAAGCTAACTCTGAACCCCAGCGGAGCCGTCGGATCCCGGCCTGGACTCCCGGGGAGCCCCGGTGGAGCCGCCAGGCCGCATGCACCGGTGAGGGCACCCAGCCCCAGCGGCACCCACAGGAATAGGGGGAGAATCCGCCGTCTGTCCCCCCCACCCCGGTGCTCACCCTACCCCCATGGCACCATCCGCCTCTTCGCCGCGCACGTATGTGCCTGTATGACGTCACAGCGCGGCCCCCGGAGCCGCACAACCGCGCTGTGACGTCACGGAGGCTTGCGAAGAAGTGCGCTGCGAACCCGAGCGACAGCAAAGCACGGCAAAACGAAGCGAAGCAAAACAAATCAAACACGTCGTGTGCCCCTTGCGCCGCAAAACTGCTGCGCCGGCTCCTGGCAGCAGCGCCGGGAGTCGCGGTCGGTCGGACAGCCCAGCCCTGCCTGGCAATCGTAATCAAAAGCCATCTCACACGGCATAGGAACGTGCGGGGCTACGAATGCCGCTGATGACTTTCTCATCGGGGGCACAACTTTGCGTCATCAAATCCAGTCCTTGTCACTGCCTTCATTAGGAAAAAAAAAAAAAAAAAAAAAAAAAGAAAAAAAAAAAAAAAAGAAAGATAAAAAGGAAGAGAAGGCTGGGCTGCCTGGCGAGGCGAGGCAGCTGCTGCCTTCGAGCGGGGTGAAGGAAGCTGGGGCAGCCACACCAGCCCTCGCCCCTGGTCAAAAGACTGACGTGGCTACAAACCATAGCAAACATTTTATTTACAGGAGTTTTATATATATATAT